GTAGTATAATAAAATTTTGAATGTAAGATACTAAAACCTTGTGTTATGCACAGTAAAGGATACCCGGGGCAATAGGTTTACAGTCACAGGACATTTTAAATCAGCATGGTACCCTGTTTTTTAATCTTAAAGCTGATGTACTGTTACTTTATAAGTCTCATTGGTTAAAATTAATACTTACCTTCCTGATAAACATAATCTGGAAAGATAGGCCAAATTCCCAAACCCCTATATTTACTAAACAAATTGGGAAATTCATTTCTATTCCATTAACATTAATGTGTACTGTGGCCTTAGTGCCCTCCAGTGAATTTTTTTTTTACCATGGTGCCTTTGAAAATGAGAAAAAATCCAAGGCCAAATGACTTTGCCCTAAAAATGATGAATTTCCTGGTCTGATGTAGACATCAAATATTTGTAACTGAGAAACTAAGTCATTATTTTGAAGTTTTATTTACAAAACTGAATATTAATTGTTATCAAATTCATAGTAGCAAGAAGATTTTTAGCAAATTTATTCATGATCTGAAATGCATTTGATGAACTATTTTCTGCATGAAACAAGGGCTGCCTTATTGATTAGAGGTCATTGTAGTTTAGGGGCATACTGTGGATCTGTTTCAGGTTAGTCAGTGAGACTATGTTTTGTTGACAGAAAAGCAGTACAATTCAGTCAATAGAACGTAATTTTTATTGTCCACTTTTGTAAACAAAGAATTAAGGTATGGTATCATTCTGCCAAAAGCTCCTGTGGACTGTTTGGTGGGGACTGTTTACAGCCCTTTTGCATTTTTCAAACATGAGGGACTGATGTATATCTTCAATTTTATATCCAGATATGCAAGTTTTTGAAAAGTTAACATGTTTTATGCTAAACTTTAGCAAAAATACCTAGTAGTGTTACATGTCAAATACAGAAGCCAGAAACATTTTATCATTTCGAGTGGGTGATGTGAAATGTTCTAAATTAAAAATATTTTTACATATTGAATGAAGTGGTAGACAGGTTTTTAATTGGTTTTTATTTTGTCACCAGGAGGGCAAGTTACAGAACCTAGTGAATCTGCTTGCTCACATGTGGTTGTGGAGGACATGGGAACATCTCCTGTTGTTATTCCTGATGACATCAGTCCTAGAGCACATGTGGTTAAAATGGAGGTATATATATATATATATATGTTGATCATTCTGAATTATTTTAAAAAGCTTTTTTTATGTCATATACTTGTGAACAAGTAAGCTAGAAATGAAAGATAGAAAAATTCCCAAAAGATAATCTTTTAGTTTAGCCATGATATACCCAGTAAAGTGAAGCAACTTGTAGTTATGCAGTCCAAAGGATTACAAAAATTTAACTTCTTGGTAACCTTAAGAATAGATTTTTCTAACTTAGCTGTTCAATAAATTTTTTATCAAACAATATATCAATTACAGAAAATACAAATGTGGGTAATAGAAGATGACCAAACATAATATCAATAAACTCATTATTAAGTTGTAGTAAGGTATTGTATCATATGTGTTACTGTAATGTGTATAAGGTCAGTCCATTGGACATACCCTGTATTAGGGAAGGAATGTTGACTGTAGTCCAAGTTTACTATGTTTCTACATGAAATGTGGCAAGCTTTTAGTCAAATGTACAAGTCTGTTGTGCACAAAAATTCAGTGTTACAATTGTATTTGCATTGAAGATGTATAGAAAGTGCTGCCATTAGTCTGATTCAGACTGAAATGTTAGAAAAGTGCAAGTTGTTGCTCATGTGAAGAATGAAAATACTTTAATTCATTGTTCAATTTGCATATTGCATTTTTATAGCCTCAAGAACATCTGAAATGCTTATCTATAACTTTTTTCAGTATCCCTATGTATATATATATGTATATACTGTATCTGGTATTTACTCTCTTATACAGAAACTGTCACTACAACTAAAATCAATAGTTGATAACTCTGATATCAAACACATAATACCATATTGAATGGCATTCCATAAAAGATTGTGTCATGTACACTTTGACCCCCATTCATGTTCATAGGGTTAATTCAACATGTAGATTTGCATGTATAGCTATAGCCTCTTAGCAGGACCAAACTTAACAGCAGACTCGGGATGCCAGTATGACATTCTTATATATGGTGTAGCACCCTACCCAAGAAACATCTGAAAGGTCACTGATGCATGTTGGGAGATTAAGAGTTTGCTTTCAGGGTTGCTCAACCTGAATCTGACATTTTTCATTCCTAGCTTTGGGTCTCCTTATCAGAAAGCATGATAGTGCTTAGTATGTTAGAATGGGCCTTAAAAAAATGGCTGCCACATTCAGTCTATTGCTTCATGATGCTTACAAATAACTGCTAAAGTTGAGTTATAGATATAGCCTTATTTGAGCATCTAATTGCCATTATAAAGTGTTTCACAGCTTGTGAGGCTCCTAATATCATCAAAAAGTGTTGCTAAAGTGGAGAAATGGTAACTAGCTAAAGAGCCACTGTTCATCTTTGTTTTTTTTCTTTTCCCACGCTAGCCAAAAGATGTGTGAAGCTTTTGCAATGGCTGTAGTACAACAAAAAAGCATTTTAAGAGTACTTGGGAGCAGGCTATCTCTAAGCACACTAGTGTTTAGTATAAGCTAAAAAAAATCATAATTCTTGTATAAATGATGTTACCATTACCCCTTGAAGTAAGTTTTCTTACGGAATTCTGGTGCTCCTTTAAAAAGCTTAAGAACAGTGTGAAACGTGAATTACAAGCGTATAATAGATGAACATTAGATGACTGTAACATGTAGAATACTCGGTGCTTTATACACTATACAATCGGTGTCTTTCGGGAGCCAACCCCTATATTATGTATGAAGTGAAGGAGTAAAATAATCAGTGCACATGATATTAAATTTTATTACACACATTCATAGAATACACTAACTGTCGGTCATTGGAAAAACATTTTGTAAATGTAAAATGATTTAGGGATGGCAGTGCTAAAAAGAATGCAAACATGAATATAGGGATGATACAGCTATACATTTTTCTTGTGTTGTTTTCTTACTGTAGGTTCCTCAACATTAGGTCTCAAGGAGTCAGTATTATGACTAGTGATGATTAATAATGTATAGTAGCCAATTGTATGTTGTAATATCAGTATCTGAGGTCATTCTACAAGTGCAATGAAGAAACCGAGAAAACTGATATGATATAATATATGTTACCATCGAATCATAAAAATAAAACAAATCAACCTACTTAAATGAAATTGTTTTAGCGGGGGGACAAGTAATAAAAAAACGTTTATATGGTTTTGTGTATTCATCCCTACCTTGTTTCTGTACTTTTGGCATTGCTATCCCTACATCATACTTAATTTTTGCCAAAATTGTTTTTGTTGCTTGTTTATATGATACGACACCCCTACCAAGGGGTGCTAAAATACACATGGAATGGAAGCTCACCCAGGTGTGATAGTGGTCCAAGAGTTCATTTTCTGTGTTACTGAATCTGAGTCTGGCATTGGATTTTATGTTTCTAGCCCATATCAGAACCCTGGACAACATTGTTTGAAACTGTTCATACCACACGAGCTAATGAGACTGAACTTGTCACATGTGCTCAGATATCATGAGCAGGTTTCTTAACAAGTTTTTTTATTTATCTTGGGGACTCTTCTTATGGTAGCTACAGAAGTAATCAGGAATAATGGAAGAGCTTGATCAATGTATTGGGGCCTCTGTGAACCATGAGGAGTGTTTTATGTTATTACAGTAAATGTGAATAATGTTGATTTTGTCAGTAGGTGTATGTACTTGTATAATAATATAATATTGCTAAATTAGATATTTTGAAGGAATTGTATTGAACTGTTCAGAAAGAAGTATTTTCTGTAGAAAAAAAAAATGTTTGTAATAACTTGTATAAATATTTAAAGTGTCTGATGTTCCATTTTTAGAAGGTTTTGGTTCCATTCAAAATTTAACTTATTTTTATTTTATGATTTTAGTGGTTTTGGGCCAGTATACAAATGGATGCATGTGCCGATGAAAGTATCTACATTTACAAAGTAGTAAGTATCTACTTTGAGACAAGAATAGCTATTTGTGTTTAACTGCCATTTCAATTTTAGCTTTCTTGTGGCTTAATTTAGTTTTATGGTGTGCATAGTATTTTCTTTGTTACATTACAGTGTATTTGTTACTGTATGATAATAATGGTTATTATAACAAAGAGTAGTTTAAAAGTGGAATTTCTTTGATTATTCTCTGACCTCAATTTAAATTTTTAAATTTAAGTTCTGTAAAATGATAATACTGTCATCTTTGAGTCTGATAAAGGAAATAGTTTGGTGATTTTGGATAAAAAGGAATATTTATATAAGGCTGAAGACATTTTGAGTGATTTAATATTATTTGTGAAGTTGTTAAATAATGATTTTACTGATACTAGAGAAGCTATATTTCAAAGATACTTAGTGAAATTGAAGAAGACTGATACTATAAATGGGAATCATTTAAAAAACAGATCATTGGGTAGTCATCCAGAACTTTTTTATGGTCTTCCTAAAATTCATAAAGAAGGATGTACATTACAATCTATAGTCTCAAATATTGGAACTTATGCTCTGGCTGATTTTTAAGCACAATAATTGAAGTTTGATAGCAGTGTTTATTGCAGGAACTTTTATGTTGAGTCTCTTTAAAAGGAACTATATGGTTAAGTGCTAATTTGATTTTTACTGACTTTGATTTGAGCATTTTCAAATTGGTATTTTCAATATTGATGAATTTTACAATTACGCAATTTCATTTTGTGCTTGATGGTGATCTTTGTATTCAGATTGATGGAGTGGCTGTGGGTTTTAGATTAGATTGGCAACTTCTTTGGCCAGTCATTTTCTTTGTTATCAGGAAAAGCAATGGTTGGAAGACTGTCCCTAATTTTTTAGACTGCTATACTATCGTTGGTGTGTAGGAGACACTTTCACCTTATTTAAAAACTTTGAATCGTGTTTCACAATTTGTTGAGTACAATGAACAATAAATCCATAGTATGAAACTCATTCTTGAACGTAAACAAAATAGTAAACTTTCACTTGTGGACAAGCTGATTCATAACAGTGATGGAAACTTCAAATGTGAAGTATACTAGAAGAAAAAAAAAGTTTACTAAATTCCATTTAAACTATGCAAGCTTTATACCAACTTTGAAGAAAATTTGATTAAAATCTTATTTTGTCATGCATAAAAAATTTTTAGTACTTACAAATTCTTACATGAAGAATTTTGTAGTGTCAAAGAATTGTTATGCAAAAATGGTTTTCCCATATATGTTATTGATCGAATACTTTATAACTCTTTGAACAAGCAAAGTTTTTGCAAACCATCTACTTACGAAGCTATTAAATACCATTTAGTTATAACTTTGCCATATATTGGTAAATATTTTCTGAATATAAAAAATCAATTATAAAATATTCTTAAGCCTACTTGCTGATTATCATTGTCAAACTTTGTTTATAAATGTACTTGTCCTTGCTCTTAGCATGGTTATATTAATTGTATTTACCCTTTCGCCCCGGGTAGGTAAAAGTGCACATGTCACGACGTTTTTGAGTTTTATTTTCAAAATTTTATTATATAACATTTTTACTAATTACATCAATGAAATTGACATCAATTTATAATTTAAATTTTGATATTCTATATGTTTTAATTTCTTAATTTAAAAGGAAATGTAAAAACAAAAATGTTAAATATCGATTTTGTGTGTCACATAACACATCCAGTTGTCTTATTGTTCAGTTGCCATTTTATTATGCCCACCATACAACATGTATATGTAGCTAAGAAATTAGAAACTCGAATTTGAAATATAGATAAGCTAAATATAAAATAAGAACCTCCCTCCTCTATGATTTGCTGAGATAGCAATATTTTTAGTAAGTCTACTAGAGTGGCTCCTCTCAATGCACCAAACTTTTGAAAGCTCTTGTCTAGTCCCGCCTACTACTACTAATTACTACTGCTTATAACCAATAGAAAGAACATTTTCACCCCTACGTAACTCTGACAGTTGTTTATAAATAGCTTTAAGGAGAAAATAATAATTTTGCCAAAACCATTGAAGTGTGATGAATAAGTCGTTCTCTGAACAGGAATGGGATTTTTTTTTCAACCCACATACAGTTTATTTAGAGATCCGACTAAATTACAAGGATTTTGAGTGTACTAGTACAGTAATTTGATACCTTTTTGGTCTTCAAAAATTAATATTTGAAGCCTAAAAAAATTAGTATCTTTACACCCTTCACCCAGAAGAATAAACGAGGTTTATGTCAAGGCTTAGCAAGTTTGATGCACGAGCGCAACATTTCGTAACACAGTTACGTACTCGAAATCTTTGTTTTTCAGTGTATTTCTCATTTACTTTTTATGTTTTATGAAATGTAACTAAAATTTGAGCATTTATGAGTAAATAGTAATATGTATTTTTATATATATATGTAACATACGGTAGCCGAAATATCGCTGTAATTTTCAGTATACTCGTATTATAGTTACATTTGTATTTTGTAGGCCAATACATAGTTATGCCTCCTGAATTTGTTTTATTCTAATTGTCTAAACTAAGGTAAGTTAAAACCAAATTATACAACATTAGAAAGGTAAAATAATTTACAAATATCGGGAAATAATATAATGCACAAATGTTTATATATGCCTAAAAGGAATAATGTACATACAAATTGCATGAATCAAAAACAAACACATGAAGTTGTGCAAAGAAAAAGCTGCATCAGTGAATGGAAATTTATATATACATATTTTATTACAAACATTGTAGAAAACTGCAAAAGCCATACTTATGATAGCATATACAGTATAACATTATACACTGATTTTGACACATGAAAGGGAGCATCACTATTGTACATATAAGTGTATCAATACTAAAATAAAAACTTCACAAAAATATTTAAACAAAACAAAAACTGTTTACACAGGAAAAGAGCAGACTTTTACCTTGTACATAGTATTAACTTCTTTTAAGAGTAACACTAGTGTGATACTCTTCAAAGTATTTCACACACAGAAATTCAGCACATAATTTACATTTTATTAGCACTTTATTTTCAGAAAGGCATAGTCTGCATCTTTTTCTGATACCTGTATCAGCAAGTGTAGGGAAGTGCCTGCCAAGAGTAAATCTCAGAGGTGATGAGTTCTGTACAGTTCTAGAGAGTGGTATACCAGAAGGACCTGGTCTGCTTTGAAGTAGAGGCTCAACAAGAGCTGTGACCAGGTCCATTCTGAAGGCCTTCTGGGATAATGTCGGCTGGTTGGTCTGTTGTTTGTACAAATGTAAGCATTTACAATTGTCAAGTCCAAAAGTCGAAAAACAGTTTTTTATACCATTTTATTGTCCTTCGTGCAGTAGAGTAGTAACTTAAGTGTTGGTCATTTAGGTCCACTCTTCCCATAAACTTATTGCAGTCCACAATTAACTGAGGTTTTCTAACCTCAGCATCCCTCCCTTTTCTTGTCACAGTTGTCATAGTACTAGAGTGTAAAGTTGTAAGTGCGTAAATGTCTCGTTTGTCAGTCCACTTTACAGCTGTCAGAGTTCCACATTTAAAAAATGTACTTCCCCTTTATGTAGGTTTGTAGAAACCAGTTGTTGTGGGAAATACAGTCTGTCTTTCCTACATGTCCCACAAGGATAGGTTCCTAAAGTCAGTAGTTTGTCAAATAATTGAGGGGAAGTGTAAAAGTTGTCCATGAAAACCCATTACCCTAATCTGTTGTACTTGTCCATCAGTTCCATCACAACACTGTCTGCTAATCCTTTAGCTGGCATTTGTCCCTCTTTGCTTGTGTAGATTTTAAATTTCAGACAGTATCCACTCACAGCTTCTGCCAGGACCCATAACTTGATACCCCACTTGACAGGTTTCTTGGGCATGTACTGACGAAAACCAATTCGACATTTTGTGCCCAACATCTGTTCGTCAATGGTTAGTTCCTTGTTAGGAGAATAGTGTAAAGCAAAAGATTTTAGTAGACAGTCTATGACAGGTCTGACCTTAAAAAGTTAGTCATAGTTAGGGTCAGTTCTAAGAAGAGCATTAGTGTTGTTATTGAAGTGTAAGTTAGTATGGATAGCTAAAACTTCTCTCTAGAGAAGATGTTAGTAAACCAAGGATTATGGAAAGGAAGATAAGTAGACCAATAGTCAGAAAAAGAAGGAGAGGGCTTGAGTCCCATGGCTATTGTTACTCCAATATATGCCAAAATGTCTTCATGGGTAACATCTGTCCATCTTATGGTTTTCTTCTTTGGGGGTTCACCTTCCTGTTGTGGTTGTTTAGATTTTGCATATTGATTTGTTTTACTATAAAGTTTCGAATCTAAACAGAAGTTGAAACAAATCGACAGCTGTATTAGTAGAGGTTACCCATTGGGACACAGGTTCGCCTCTATTGAACGGAAGTACATGGGTAGGTACTTCCTCGGTGATCTGCACCCAGGTCCAAGTGTCACTGCAGGTGAGAGGCCTCTCCTGCTGGGAAGGACCAGTCCTAGTAGGTACTGTAGCTCTACCCCTCTTTGTCCTGCCTCTTCTCTGTGGTTGTGGTTACCTTGATGTACCTGGCCTGGGTGATTCGACATCCTCATCTGATGAAGATCTTTCACCAACTATTTCCTGATCTGTCCATAAGACAGAATCAAGAAGAGCTGGCTTTAGATTCTGTTGCCATCTGGTTTTATAGAG